TCTATTGCTGATTATCAAAAGGACCATAGCAATGGGGGAAAGAATAAAAAGGGGGAAAGAGAGCTCCCTAAGACATGTAGGGAAATGATGAAGGAGTTAAATTTGGTGGATCTATGGAGAAGGCTATATCCTGAGGAAAAACAATTCACATTTTACTCTAACCCGTATCAAATATGGACAAGAATTGACATGGCATGGATGAATGGGGAAATAGCAAATGAGATAAAAGGAATTGAAATTTTACCAAATGAATGGGCAGATCATAATCCAATTCAAATAATCTGGAAGGGGAGGAAGAAACCAAAGAAAAGATGGTCATTAAATACCCAATTAATAAGAGAAAAAGATTATACTAACAAACTTAAGGACGAAATAAACTACTTTTTAAAGGAAAATGACAATGGTGTAACTTCGAAACCAAACATTTGGGATACATTGAAGGCAGTAATAAGAGGTATAACAATCTCTTAAAATGCTATGAGGAATAAAGAAAAATATGCCCAGCAAAATAAATTACAACAACAAATTAAGGAAATAGAAACTCAATTACAAAAGACCCCTAAGCATCTAAGAATACAGAATCAGATAATATCTGCTAAACATAAATTGAATTTAATTGAACAAGAGAAAATGATAATAAATTTGAAAATGACTAAACAAACATATTTTGAGCATGCTAATAAGCCAGGAAGATGGTTATCTTATAAATTAAAAAAAAAAGAAAGAAAAGAGATTGATCTACCAATTAATTGATGGGAAGGGCGACATACAACAAGAGATAGAACAGAAAAAAGACATCGTACATAAATACTTTGAAGAGTTATACAAAAAGGAAGAAGTTAATGAGGATAGAATAAGAAATTACTTAGATGAAATGAAAGATAAAGCAATTGGGGAAGAATTGATAGAATTATTAAATAAAGACATTACTTGGTCCGAACTGAAATCAGCAATAGAGAATCAGGAAAACAATAAAGCCCTGGGGCCAGATGGGATTCCGGGAGAGCTATATAAGGCAACCGCAGAACAAATTGGACCCCTTATGATGGAAGTTTTTAATGATGTCTTATTGGCAGCCAGAATGCCAGACTCATGGAGGGAAGCACTGATTTCGTTGATCCCAAAGGAGGAATCTGACCTTAGATATATTAACAACTACAGACCAATCTCACTACTAAACACTGACTACAAAATATTCACCTCTATCATAGCTAACAGATTCAAACGAATTTTAAATTTGTATATACATGAAGACCAAAATGGATTTCTCCCGACTAGACAGATAAGGAATAATTTAAGGACAGTAGTAGATGTTTTAGAATTTTATGAAGCCCACCCCGTTTTTAGATGCAGAAAAGGCATTCAATAATTTAAATTGGCAATTTTTAATTCAAAAAATTTATAATATGAATTTAGGCACTAAATTTGAAAACATTATAACAACTATTTATGACACACAACAAGCCAATATCATAATAAATGGGGAATATACTCGCCCAATAAAAATAGAAAAAGGAGTCAGACAAGGTTGCCCACTCTTACCCCAGCTCTTCATATTCTTTTTAGAAACACTATTAACATGAATTAGACAGAACTCAGAGATAAAAGGATTAAAGGTTAAAAAAGAAGAATACAAATTGCAAGCATTTGCCGATGATATGTGTTTTTTTTATTGAGGAACCAGTAGAAAGAGGACAAAAATTGATAAACGAACTAGAACAATTTGGAGCAGTAGCAGGACTCAAAATTAATAGGAGGAAAACAAAATTAATGACTAAAACTTTAACAGAAAAACAGAAAAAAGATTTAGAAGAAGTTATGGGAATACAGGTGACAAAGAAAGTTAAATATTTAGGAATATGGCTGACAGCACATTGCAAGACACTTAAGGAAAATAATTATGACAAACTGTTGCAACAAGTAAAGAAAGACCTAGAATCATGGGCCAGGCTGCAACTTTCACTATTGGGCAGGATTGCTTCTATTAAAGTGAATATTCTTCCAAAATTTTTATACTTATTTCAGACGATTCCAATTAAACTACATAGAATTTTTTTTGAAGAACTTAATAAAATAACTGTTAAATTTATTTGGCAAGGGAAAAAACTAGAATAAATTTAAAGGCAATGCAGGATATGAAGAGCAGGGGAGGGTTGGCACTTCCAAATTGGGAATTGTATTATATGGCTGCTTCCTTAGTATGGCTAAAAGACTGGGTGAACTTAATTAATAAGAGAACTCTATTTTTAGAAGGCCACGATTTGCAGAGGGGGTGGCACGCCTGTTTATAGGAGGTAGGGAAAGTTAATCAAACATATTTCTACAGACATTTAATTAGAGATTCATTATTAACTAATTGGAAAAAAATACGGAAAAAACACTACTTAAAAGTACCGATTTGGTTATCGACAATGGAGGCGATGATTCACCCAAACAATTTGGACATTACTAAAATGATTAAATATAAGGATTTATTGGATACACAAGGAAATTTGAAATCGCAACAAGAGCTGTAGGAGCAGGGATTTAAAATCAATCAGTGGGTATATCTTCAAATTCATAGTAGATACAAAGAGGATAGGAAAGAATTCGGAATTAACAATAAACTCCAGCAATTAGACAAAATTTTATTAGGATCAGGCAAGAAAAATATAACTAAAATTTACAACTATTTATTAGAAGTTGAATTAGAAGAAGAGACAGTTAAAGGGAATATGATAGCCTGGAGTAGGAACGTAGGACAGAGTATCACTTTAATAGAATGGGAAAAGATCTGGAATAGAAATAATAAGATTACAAAATTGGCAACATGTAAAGAAAACTCTTATAAAATGTTTTACAGATGGCACCTTCCTCCCTCGAGATTAGCGAAGATGCGCCCTAATATGAGTCCGAAATGTTGGAAATGTAAAAAAAAAGAAGGAACCTTTTTTCATATATGGCGGTCCTGTAAAGAAGGCCAAAAATACTGGCAAAGAATTAGAAATTGGCTGGAAGACATAACAAAAGAACAGTGAGTATAAACCAGAGTCCTTTCTCTTAGGGATTTTCGATAAACAACTATCAAAAAAAGTGAAGCACATAACAATACATATATTAACAGTGTCCAGACTAGCTTTTGCTCAATGTTGGAAACTCCCTCATATACCTACAGAACAGATGATCATCCAAAAAATCTCAAACTGTGCAGAAATGGACAAGCTTACTTTAGCCTTAAAAGATAAAGATTCTTCAATATATTATAACAGTTGGAATTGCTGGTATAAATGGCTAGAACAAAGACAGATTTTATATTATAACGCAAAAAAGAATAGGACAAATTCATACGAGTGAAATATAAATATACATATAGATAAGGTATGCGTATATGGCACAAACTAAGGAAAGAAAAGATAAACTGTCGAAAATGAGAATGTTTTTAAGTGTTTTTCCATTCTTTTTTCTTTTTCTTTTCTTTTTTGCCCTTCTATCTGTGTGTGTGTTGTCGATTTGTTTTTTAATTGTAAAATCAATAAAATTTGTTTTTTTTTAAAAAAAATAATAAAGTGGGAGACTGGGTCTACCTGACCACTAAGTACCTTAGGGTAAAATTACCTACAAAGAAATTAGGTCCGAAATTCCTAGGACCATTCCCCATAGTGAAAGTAATAAACCTAGTAATGGTACAGCTAAACTTTCTGCATTTGTTAGGGAAGATGCATCCAGTGTTCCATACAGCTTATTGAAACTAGCTGCTAGCTCACAGATAAGGCCAAGAGATCAACCTGCTCCCAGGTCAATTGTAGTACAAGGGGAAACCCATTATGAAGTGAAAAAAATATTGGACTCTAGATTTCATAGAAGTCATTTACAATGTTTAATCCATTGGAAGGGGTACCCTTTGTTTGAAGCCACCTGGGTGAAAAGCTGGAATGTGAAAGCAGATAGATTGCTGAAGCAGTTTCCCTGATAAGCCAAAGGGGCCTCCAGAGGTAAGGAGGTGGTTAGACCCTGGTCCCTAACCTCCTGTCACCTGTCTCCTTTCAGGACGTTCTCATCACTTTAGGGGAGGCAGCCTATCAGCCCTGGATCCATTTTAGGACGGACTTTACAGGGATTGTGACAGTGGGGGATGAGCGAGCTGTGGGAATGGGAGTGTAGCGAAGGGAGTATAGTCACAACAGCATTCTTTCACATGAGATCAAGGATGGGCTGCTGGCACCTGGAGGAGAATGACCAAACTTTGGCGACAGCTGAGCAAGGAGATTGATTGGGTCATGTGATGTGAATGTCACTGGACAGGGCAGTGTGTGAGTTTTAATTTGGATGGGGGGAAAATGTGGGATTTCAGATTCGGGTTTTCCCCAGATGTGCCAATATGACTTCTCTAATAAACTTTGATGGACTTTGTCTCAGACTTCTGAATTGTAGTGAAGGTTTACTTGGAATGCTGACAATCTGATGTACAAAGTGCTAGTTCAGTTCCCCTGAGCAGTGAGTTGCTTGTTAGACAAGATACAGCTTTTTTTTTTCTTAAGGAAGTCTGGTCTACTTTTTTTTCTGCAATTGCTATACCTGATGATGTTCCTTCTCCAGGTATCTGCATATGTCCTTCCAAGGGGAGAGTATGAAATTGTTTAGTTCCAGTGGGGCTGGACTAGACTGGACTAGGTTTGATTTGTTTCCTTCACTGAGTGACATGTTGCCATCGGTCTACCTTTAAAGGTTCATTCTTATGTTAGTTAATTGTTCAATATGATGTTCAATTTGGTTGCAATCTTTTTCCTTTAATTTGAGTTTCTCATTTTCTTGTTTAAGTTTCAGAGTGGCTAGGTATTGTCTCTAAGCCCTTTTCTTTTTCCTCTATTGTTTTTTCTTACTGTGTTAAGTATTATAGGAACTGAACAGACTATGGTTATATAGGGCAGCTGAACTGCCTGTCCCTGGATATATTTTCAGAAGAGAAACAGTCAAGAGAAAGTAACAAACATCAAATTAAAAAAGAAACAATGATCACTTACCATAGTTTTTCTATTTTACAGTCTGGGTGTTGAAGCCCCTCACACAGCCTCTCCACGATTTTGACTTCTAAAATCTGGATCCACAACCATAACGTTTTCAAATTCTTGTTTTCCCTGAGTACATCTGCAAGATCCGTGCTGCCATATTGAAGCAGGTGTTTTGCGAAAAGCCTGCATATATGAAACCCCCCCCCCCCCCAAATTACTATTATTTCTTGGGAAATAAATATAAACTATAGCCTTGAAGGAACTGAAGAGAATATTGAGAATATATTTATTTGCTGATAATGGAACTGTCTCTCCCATTTTAATAATTAATTTCAAACATTTATTTTAGATCCATCTGGACCCTTACTTTGTATATAACTTTCCAAAATCAATGTTCTCATTACCTTTTTGCTGTTTATTCCAAAATAAAAAACAAATTTTTTATTGCTTACATTTACATAAAATTGCTTTTGCTTAGGATTGAAGAACAATCACTTAGTATAATGAAACTTACTATTCTGAAGGTTTCTAATACAAAGCAGATAACAAGCAATTTCCAGAAGTGATTAAGAAAGGAGTTTGTGAACCCTGTGTCCTTGGACAAAGGTAGCAATTGCTTAGCACCCAGATCTTGGAGCTTGCCAGAGACCTTTATCCTATAGTCTCATGGGGTGCTGCTGTCTAGAGTGCTTAGGGGCAATCTTAAGCCCTCTCTCCTTGTCCAGAGAAGAATGCTGATTTTGCCATTGCTTCCCTGGAAATCTGGAAAGTCCAAATTATTCAATGCCAATAATAATCAAAGTAATATATAGTACATAGCAAATCTCTCTTGAAAGTAAGATGGAAATTAAAATTTTCAATGTAGATTAGCAACTACCTGACAAGTCAATATTAATATTAAAGCAGATTCCCAAAACCGTTAAGCATAAGAACGTTTCAAAGATAGCTATAGCAATAGCACTTAGATTTATATACCGCTTCACAGAGCTTTACAGCCCTCTCTAAGAGGTTTACAGAGTCAATATATTGCCCCCAACAATCTGGCTCCTCATTTTACCAACCTCAGAAGGATGGAATGCTGAGAACGTTGAGCTTAATGAGATTCAAACTGCCAAATTGCAGGCAGCCAACTAGACGCAGCCTGCAGTATTACATTCTAACCACTCTACCACCATGGCTCTTCTACAGATCTTTATTGTATTAAAGGAAGCTAGTAAACAATTGCAGAGAAAGTCCAGGAAGTATTAACAAGGTGATATTATTCACACAAATAATGAAGAAAGAATGAACAAAGGCTACAGGTCAGTGGTGGGATTCAAATTTTTTTTAATTCCCTCCCCACCCCACTAACCTCTTTCCAGCTCCATTTCCTATGCAGGGCAACAAAAGAAGACCCAGCTGATCAGCCGGGACTTGGGAGGCAGAGAATAGATGTGGGTGGGGCCAGTCAGAGGTGCTATTTGCCGGTTCTCCAAACTACTCATAATTTCCGCTACTGGTTCTCCAGAACTGGTCAGAATCTGCTGAATACCACCTCTGCTACAGATCTATACCTCTGTAGAGTCTAGATGCAGAATTTTTTTTAACAGAGTAATTGCTGTCAGGTCTACAAATTGCTTAATGAAGATGTTAGGCTTATCCTAGCTTGGACGCTTAAGAAAGAAAGACCCTTTACTCCATTTGTAGCAAAGTGTATACTTTTATTAAAGCCAAATGGTTACAGCATAAGCAAAGCTGGAGCTAACTATTCCTCCATAAATCCTGATTTTTCCCTTTCTCCCGGACCCTTCCCCTTGACTATTCATAAATCTTCCCTAGTTTTCAGGACTTCTGGTTGGACTTCCTCACTGATGGACCAAAATCCATAATCGTCCATGGTTTCGGTTCGTGCTCTGCCGTCGGAGGGCCCCAATCATCCTGATTTGGGGGGCAGAGCTACCCCATAGAGGTGGCAAAGAAGGGGGAGACTGCCAACTGAGTCAAGGGGAGCTGCATCTCCCCTCCTCGGCTTGGCAAACTCTCCCCTCCAAAGATGGCTGTAGCAGTGGTCAAGATGGCCATCCTGAAGAGGAAGAGCTGACCGGGATAAGAGTGTGCAGGAGCGATGAAGAAGAGGACAGCTTGAATGATCAGGCTAATCAGGTGCAACATCTAAATAAAAGGTACCATGGAATTAAATACTTAAGGATCTTTAAGAAAGACATTTAAAGTGGCAACAGAGAAGTGAAGAAAAAAAGAGGGAAATTTGACAGCTGAAACTTTGTACTTTGTAAGAGACGTCTGAAGATGATATTTATTTAAATTGGTAGATATACTATCCTCACACTAAATAGGCAAATCTAAAGCTGAACTTGAACACGTCAAAGGAAAAAATAAAGAATTTTGAATTTTAAAAGCCATTAAAGAGAAAAGGGAGGGGGTGTGTGAAATTTAGACATAGCAGAGTGTGCCATCTAGTGGCAAAAGGAATTACTCGTGAATTATTATTTTTTCTTTCACTTGATTCACTTAAAGGACTGATACAAAGTAAGTGAAACCTTACTACAATAAAATAGAGCCCCTGGAAAGTGAAAGTGAATTGTTGAAGTTTGAAACAAAGAAAGAAGCAAGAAGAAATTGTTCTGGGACTCTTTGGTGACCTTGGAATATATAAAAATTTTGGATATTAGATTACTTGATGAACTAATCAAAATTAACTTTTGGAAATAACTTTTAGACATTGGTTGAATTAAATTACTGGACAGAAGTGTTTAAAGATGGCAGAACTTTTTCTGGACTTTTTCTGGAATTAAAAATAGAACTAAGAAACATGAAGAAAAAGCTGCAAGAGAAAGGGAAATTGCTTGGCTTTGCTCTACAATTTTTAGAAATTGTAGAAATTTAGCGAGTATGAAGAACAACAAGGAGTACCAGAAGGAGAGGAAGAGCTGAATGAAGAAGAGGCCATCTTTAACAAACAAGTGGAGCAACAAGGGTTAAAGAGAAAAGGGAAAAGAATGGGAATTAAGAATTGGAGATTTGAGGAGGTAATAAAAAAAGGGAATAGTTTGAAAACCAAACAAAATACAAGGAAAAAGCAGAAAAGAGAATTACCAAAGGAAGCTTTAAAGAGGGAGGGGGATAAAAACTGGAGTAAGAAATGGAGCAGAAAAATAAAGGGGAAAAGAAATAATAAGAAACAGAATCAGGAAGTAAAGAAATATGGAAATTGAACAAAAATGAAAAGAAATTGTTTATTTTAAACACACAAAGATAATGGTTAACTAAGAATTAAGAGAGAGGATTCTGCAAGGTGATAAGGGGTAGTATAAATTTGTTAGAAATAATAAACTATTTAGAAAGTAGGAAAATATAGATCATTAAAGTGGAAGATTGGAACTGATATTGTTTGATACTGGAATGCTCGTTATTTGTTAAATTAAATATAGAGATAAATGGAATAAATGTGAAAGAAAGAGAAAACACGAGAAATTTATTAGCTACGTTTGATTAACATATGGAATATAATTGAAATGAATTATGAGGATTGTTGTAAAGGGACTATAAATAGAGACAAATGGAATGAGGTGAAAAAAGAAAAGTGATGATATGTTTATTAATTATGCTCAATGAATCACAGAATACAGTTGAAATGAACTATAAGAATGGTGTAATGAAATTAATATCAATTTCTATGATGAATTGAACAGATTAATCTTTCTTTTTGAAATTAGAAATGTATTTAAGGTAATTCAAGAGGAAAGTACCATGTGGAATCTGACTGAAAAGCTATATATTTTTTTTTAAAGCAAATTTTATTAATTTTACAAAACAATATACAAACAAACAAAACATAAAATATGATGACATAAGAAATCTTTTTCTAAAAAAACCAATACAACATCTTATTTAAAGACAGAATTATTCCAAGTTATCACATTTCCATACAAACACAATTTAGTATATATAGTTACCTTATCTGTTCATCTTCATATCTTATCCTGAACTTCTCTTTATTACTCCCTTTCCTTCTATTTATTCAAGTTATATCTCTTTAACTTTAGATTGTATACATTTTTTATATCCATCTGTCTTATACAATTTCATTATTTTCTTCCAATACAAAAACAGACAAGACATAAAACATAAAAACATAAAACATCTTTTCTGAAAGTTGCTTGATCCCCGGTTAAAACTCATCGTACAGACACCACTTCAAAAATCATGTTCCTTTTATATATCATTCCATATCTTATTACCGTTTTCCATTTTCTATATAGCTTCTTCCTTTTTTTAACTCTCTTGGTTTTATTCTACTTATCTCATCTCAGTTCAAGTCATAATACTTATAATTCTTTGTCTGTTCTCAACTATCCATTCATCTTTTCTCTTTAAACAAAACTTCTCCTGTACACTGATTGGAGTATGACGCCTTTAACTCTTTCCCCTAACCTAATAATACTTAATATCACACATAACTTGTATTGGGATTCTGTTTAGCACATCCTAAAGTTACACAATATATTATAGAGAGAGAAAAAGAGAAAAAAGAAAGAAAGAAAGAACAGCAATAACAAAGGAACAAATTTATAAATATATAATGTAACTAGTACCCCTGTCAATACCATTTTAATCATACATATTAATAATCATTTATATCTTAAACATTTTATTCTAAAAATGCCTATAATAACACAATCTTATATACCTTACAGAATCCCTTTTTCAATTAGATTTACCCATTGTCTCTAAATGAATTTTGTTTCTTTAAATCTTGCTTCCCATCATTGAGACTTCTCACCCCGTCCTTTCTCCCTTGCTTATTCTTTTCCTTACCCTTTTTACCCCTTTGTCTCTCCACCTCCCTTTTCTTCTTCTGCTTTCCCCCTTTCTGTTGTTTTCTAACCTTATATCCACCTTTCAACTCATTTTTATCTTTTTTGGTTGTTTTTTTAGGTTTTAAAATCCCTTTTTTCTTTTCCTCTTTCTTCTCCTCCCCAAATAGGATCACATGTTCATCAAAGATGATTTCTTCTTTGTTCCAATTATCCTGCTGCGCAATCAATTCTCCATAAGAATGTACCACCATTTCTAGAGATTGAAAAAGAATGCCCAAAGTATCTTTCCAGTCTTGTTCTTCCTTTTTATATTTTTGATATTCAGTTTTGGATTCATCCAAGGATAATGCCATTATAAAGAGGAAAATTTTTTCCCAAAACAACCACCCAAGTGTTTTTAAACAAAGAAAAAAAAAAGATTTCCCAAAAGATCCAGTTACCAAACAATCCAGATAAACTATTTTTTTTAGTACTTTTTCCCTTCTTCCATTTCTTTTTCTGGGGTTGCTATTAAGTCACAAAATTCCAATTGAAATATGTCTTTTTGAAGTCTTATTAATGTTCAAATGGCTCTTTAAAATTCTAGGCAGTCTGCTCCTTATTTTCAAATTCTACTTCAATTTTTTTCCTCTCCCTTCCCACTCACAGCAAAAGAAAATTTTTTCTTTAAATATTTAGAAATCCATATCCCTTTGGCATTAGCATAGTCTTTAGCATTTAGCATAGCTTCAATGCGGGTTTTCTGATTTCTCTCAGAGCTGTTCCGTTTGGAAGGAGAGTGAAAAGAAAAAAAGTTTTCCCTTTAATATCCATTCGCTGCTTACTCAGTCTGGGAACAATGTATCTTTAATAAGTATTAAATACCAGGATACTTTCACTGTTACTTTGTCTGGGTCAGCAAAGATCACTTTCACTTCTTCACAAGCTCCTCCAGCACTTTCTTTTTCTGGCTGAGCTCTTCTATGTGGCGGCCATTACAGACTGCCGCTCAGCTGCCTTCGGAGAGGGAGATTTAGCCGGTTAGGGAAGAGAAATGCTATGTCTCTCGTCCCTGCCAGAGCTCCCCAGTCTTCACCACCTTCTGCAAAGGTGGCTTAGCCCCGAAGCCAAATGGCTCGAGGCACTCAGGCAGTGAACACAGGCAGGGACCGCACACAGTCGCGGATTCCTACCTTCACTGAAGCGCCACAAACCGGAAGAGCCAGAAAAGCTATATATGTTATGTAGTTGTTAGGAGATGATTATTATAAATGTTTAAGGTGATACTTAAAAGTTGAATGTTTAATGGGATTTGAAAGAGAATTAATTATAAGCTATAGGGTTGGCACATTTTAATTGGCAATTATAGGGGAAATATTAGTTTTGTAATGTTTGAAATGAGGTGGATTTTTTTGGAAATGATGAAATAAGAATGTGCAATGAAATGGTAAACAGGACAGATAAAAGTATAGGTATAATTAATATGAAAATATGAGAACTTTTTAAAGGGAAAAGAAATAGGTTAAGATATGAATGGGAAATCTATAAAATAAGTCTGAGGGAAATGATAGAGAACATACAAAGTAGTGGTAAGATATGTAATTAAATATGAAAGATGAATATGTAATCAAAGCAGAGGAGGTATTGAGCCAGTTCTTGCCAGTTCTGGAGAACCAGTAGCGGAAATTTTGAGTAGTTTGGAGAACTGGCAAATACCACCTCTGACTGGCCCCACCCCATCTATTCTCTGCCTCCTGAGTCCCAGCTAATTGGCTGGGTCTTCTTTTGTTGCCCTGCACAGGAGAAAGGAGCTGGAAAGCAGGTTAGTGGGATGGGGAGGGAATGGGGATTTTGCAGTAACCTTCCCCCAAGAGTGGGGTTAGAATGGGGATTTTACAGTATCCTTTCCCTGACAGGCCCAAGCCATGCCCACCAAGCCACACCCACAGAACCGGTAGTAAAAAAATTGAATCCCACCAATGAATTAAAGCTATGTCTGTATGGAGATGTGAAAACCTGGAATCATGCTGTTCGCTAAACAAAGATTTTTTTTCTTTTGTTTTATGAAAATTGAAATAAATTTTTATTTTTAAAAAAATCTTCCCTAGTTTTCAAATTAAGTGTTTGTGTCAGAGTCTTATAGTTTGGTGCCTCTTTGGTAGACTTCCACAGTCCATTTTCACACCTGGATCTGCTGGTCTGTTCCACCAGTTTGTTTCGGAATGACACCTCTGGTTCATGTCATCCTGTCAATCCCCTTCCCTGCATTTCCATTCTCCCTCCTCCCCGCATATATGGCAGAATGCCAGTGTAGCAAAGTAGGCTGCATTGATTTGTATGGCAAACCTGACAGAAGAGTTACTGAGTGTATTTCACCAGGAACAATCTCAGAAAAAGTAGCCCTTCAGGCAGATTCTCAGCACTTAACAGCTAAGAAAGCATCTTTGCAGTCAGAAGAGGCACAGCTCTTAAATCTCCTAGTAAATCTAGGAGGGCATCTTAATGCCCTTTTGACTATAATCCTGGATAGAATTCTATCTCAGAAAACCCAAGGAAGTGAAAATAATGTGGTTATACATCAGAACTTTTCTGCCTTTCCTTAAATACTTTTCCAGAAAGTATTCAACAGAAAGTTATGTACATCAAACTAAAAAAGAAACATAATTGCTCACCGGAGTTCTTCTACTTTACAGTCTGGATGTTTTAGCCCCTCACAAATCTTTTCAAATGCTTTATATGAATCCTTTAGCACCAAGAATAACTCTCTTATTTTCCAAAATACGCCTGCAATATGCTTGCCGCAGGATTCAGTCATGGCCTCTGCACTAAGCCTATAAAAAAGATTCAAAACAATTAAAATTATTTCTTAAGAAAAAAGCATGGGCTACATTGTTATAGGAACTTGTTCTATATTAACATTCTTGAAACATCGCATTCTGATTGGTCCACACAGACCGATACGTGATTGGCTAACTGAACTCCTGTGATTGGTGCGCTAAGAGTCTACCGTGATTGGCCGAGCTGATTGCGGGAGATTCAAAGCGCTGCCATTGGCCGCCGAGCCGGCCAGCTGAATAAAGCCAAGTGGCTTGCAGGTCTTGAACTGTTCTATACATGCAATAAAGAGCTGAATGTACACTTTGGAGTCTCGCCTCTCAATGCGACCCGATCTACCCAGAACCGATCTACCAGACTTAACACTGGCGACGAGGGTGGGATTGTGAGGCGAAGAACCACCCAGCACGTGGCAAACAGCGCGAAACGACCAGCAAGATGGCCAGCAGCACCCCGCCACCTGCTCCCTTCGACCCAGCCACCGAGAACTGGGAATCCTACACCGACCGCTTCCAGATGTTCCTGGAGTGCAGCAATCTCAAGGATGCCAACGGGCAGAGGAAATGGGCCGTGTTCTTGACACACTGCGGGCCCGCAGTATTCAAGATGGCCAAAGCGCTGGCCAAGCCCGCCGACGTGAAGGAGATGGACTGGGCTGACCTCGAGCCCATCTTACGCCACCATTATGCCCCTGCCGTGCCCATACTCATCCAAAGGCACGATTTCTACCGATGAGATCAGCACAAGGGCGAAACCATTGGCGACTTCATGGCCCAACTGAGGAACCTAGGGGGCCTGTGCGGGTTTGCCGAGCTGGACGAGGCTTTATGCGACCGAGTCGTCCTCGGGCTCAGAGACCCCGTATTGCAAAGCCGGCTGATGGCCAAAGGTGACATCTCCCTCACCCACACCCTCACCGAGGCAACTGCAGCCAAGGCCACCCGCAAATCGGCGGCCCAGTTGAGGCAGGCAAACGCAACGGAACGGCCATCGACCAATGAAGCAACCCCAGCACCGGCGAGACCGCGGAAACCAGCCACTGAGAAACGACCACCCATCACGGTGACATCGACCCCCCATCCAATACCGACAATGAGGAAGAGGAGATCCACCAGCTCCAGCCTGAACGCGATCGACGGGACTGGAGGGGGCGTAATTCGGGGTTCCATTGTGCCGGTTGTTGTGGCGACCACCCTCGCTCTGAATGCCATTTTCTCAATGCCATCTGCCGGCATTGCGAGAAGCGGGGGCACATCGCCAAGGTGTGCCGGAACAAGAAAAACTACAGCCCCCAACAACGAGGCAGCAGCCCCCAACGACGAGACGGCACCCCCCCAGAAACCGAGACCGCCAAGCCGAGAGCCGATGGAGCCATGACAGCCAGAACAGACGACACAGCGAAGCACAGCGACGAGAAGAAACCCACCAGATGGTCGTCATCGGCCATTCATCGACCATTGACGCCCGGAAGGTACACGTGGAAGTAGGCATCGAAGACCAGCCCTGCGAGATGGAAGTGGACTCCGGGTCCTACTTCTCCATGGTCTCTTGGTGCACAATCAAGTGCCTAGTGCCAACCATCCGCCGCCGTGAACTGGACGACCAAAAACTAACCCTAAAGGACTACCAGGGAAACTGCATCCCCGTAGCCGGCATCGGACATTTTAAAATCACCTTCAAAGGCCACACCAAGGTATTACCACTCATGATCGTAGACAAAGACCGCCCCAGCTTACTCGGACTGCAATGGTTCTCCCCGCTGGGAATAGAAGTGAAGGGCATCCACCACACAGACGAGGCTGACTGGGAAGCGACGCTCGTGAGGGACTTTCAGGAGGTCTTCAACGACACCTGAGGCAAGTACTGAGGGGCCCCTATCTCCTTCAACCTTAACCCTAACGTTGCCCCAATCTGCCTCAAACCGCAGCGAGTACCATTCGCGCTCAAACCCAAAATCAATGAGCAGCTAGACAAGCTCATCGCGCAAGGGGTTTTAGAGCCAATTGACCATGCCCGCTGGGAAACACCCATAGTCACCCCCATCAAACCGGATGGCTCCATAAGAATCTGAGATGACTATAAGGCCACCCTCAACCACACGCTGCAGCAAAGCGCCTACCCCGTCCCAGTAGTACAGCACCTTCTGCACTCACTGGGGGGAGGCTGGGTCTTCGCAAAGCTCAACCTGGCGCAAGCCTACCAGCAACTGTTGGTCGACGCCAAGACAGCACAAACGATTGTCACACACCGGGGGGCATTCCGATGCAACCGACTCCAGTTAGGAGTCAGCGTTGCCCTAGGAGTCTTCCAAAGCTTCATGGAAAGACTCCTCCAGGGAATAAAAGGAGTGGTCCCCTACTTTGATGACGTGCTGGTCGCAGCCGCCAACAAGAAACAATTGGAAACCCGTTTAAGAGCGGTGCTGCAAAAATTCAAAGACGCCGGCCTCAAAGTCAAAAAAGGGAAATGCCAACTCTGCACCGAAAGGGTCGAATTCCTGGGGTACCTCCTAGACCGACACGGAATCCACCCCACCGGAAAGAAACTCAGAGCCATTAAGGAAGCCCCCACACCAACGAACAAGGCGGAACTGCAGGCATTCTTGGGACTGATGAACTTTTACAATGTTTTCCTACCCCAAAAGGCGACCGCGGCGGAGCACCTGCAAAGGCTACTGGATAAAGCAGCCACCTGGACTTGGGGGAAGCGGGAGGAGAATGAATTCCAACAGACCAAAAACCTGCTAACGTCAGACGCAGTCCTGATCCAGTACAGCGAGACCCTGCCGCTGACGGTGACATGCGACGCATCGCCTTTTGGCATCGGAGCAGTCCTCAGTCACACCCTACCAGACGGGAAGGAAGCACCCGTCGCCTTCTTCTCGAGAATGCTGTCCAAACCAGAGAGAAATTACAGCCAGCTGGACAAAGAAGCCCTCGCCATCATCGCCGGAGTGAAAAGGTTCCACGAATACCTTTACGGTACGACCTTTTCTATCATTACAGACTACAAACCTCTGCTTGGAATACTGGCAGGGAACAAGGCTACCCCGAACATCCTGTCACCTTGGATGACAAGGTGGTCAGGATGTTCCTTGCTGCCTACTTGTACGAACTGACACACCGACCCGGCAAGAACATTCCGCACGCAGACGCGCTAAGCCGATCTCCCCTACCAGACCTGGATGACGACCCAGCACCCACAACGACAACCCTGCAAATAGAGACTTTACCCAGCCCGCTCTTAACTGCGCCAGACATTGCCCAAGAAACAAATAAAGACAAGTGGCTGGCGCGGGTATTGAGCTGGGTAGAGAGGGGGTGGCCGGAAAGCGATGGCAGCGAACAGTTCAAAGCCTTCAGGAACCAGCAAACCGAACTGTTCACACAGAAAGGATGCATACTTTGGGGAGACTGGGTAGTCATACCAGAGACACTACAGAGAAGAGTACTGGCAATTCTACATGAAGGGCACCCGGGCATAGTCAAGATGAAAGCCCTGGCCAGAAGTTACGCTTGGTGGCCAGGGATGGACAAGCAAATCAAGACATGGGTAGCTGAGTGCAACAGATGCCAAGAGACGAGGTCCACCCCCCCTGCCGCTCCAGTCCTGGAATGGGAAACCCCCAGGGGACCATGGTCGTGAATACATATAGACTTCGCCGGGCCGACCAAGGGGCATACATTCCTCACCACCGTGGACGCCTACTCCAACTGGCTGGAGGTAAGCACCATGAGAACAACAGAAGCCGTCATCGATAAACCTAACAGACTTTTCGCGACACACAGCTTGCCAGATGTCTTAGTGTCGGACAACGGCCCACAGTTCATGGCACTGGCATTTGAAAAATACCTGGCCGAATGAGGCATCAGGCACGCCTTAACCTCGATGGCTCACCTGGCGGCGAACGGACGGGCGGAACGGATGGTTCAATACACGAAGAAAACCATTCAGAAAATTGAAACCAGAGACATACAGGAAAAAATAAACAGAATGCTACTCATACAGCATATTACGCCTAACATGACCACAAATAAAAGCCCAGCGGAACTACTGATGGGCAGGAAACTGAGGTCCCCACTGGACTGACTATACCCTACCTACAACCCGGAGAAACCCCCAGACTCCTCCAGCAGGCACCAGGCATTCAACATCGGGGACACGGTCTACGCAAAGAACTTCACGGGAGACCCACTCTGGGTACCGGTGCAAATAACACAAGTAACCACCCCCCAGTCATACAGACTCCAAACCACTGATGGAAGAAGCTGGAAGTGGCACATCGACCAGCTACGGTCCATGTTAGCCGCCAATAGCCCCGACACCCCGACAACAACTACAGAAAGCGGGGGAGGGGACCACAACAACCAAGCAGGGGGACAACAAAAGGCCAGAAATGCTAGCAGAACACCCCCAAATGCAAGCTGAACACCCCCCACCTAGAGAAAGCAACCCCCAAATAAACCAGCCATACTTACCAGCAGATCTCGAGCTGTTGCAGACGGGAGCTTCACCTGGAAGGAACAGCCAAGCCATTCAACCAGCCCAGAAAGACCAGGCGGGAACAACAGAAACTGCAGCTCGACCGACCCAGGTAGACCGGGTGGGAGCTGCAGCGACAGGCCCGGCTCACCCTTCCAGGCAGTTCCATCGAAGGGTTTGAGAGTGACGCGGAGCCCGTCCGAACTGGCCAACGATTGCACACAGACTGAGCCGCGCAAGTCAACTAGGCAGGTACGCAGCCCCGGCTACCTGCACGACTACATCACCACGCTACGTCGGACGAAACCATGAGGGGAGGGGTGTTCTATATTAACATTCTTGAAACATCACATTCTGATTGGTCCACACGGACCGATACGTGATTGGCTAACTGAACTCCTGTGATTGGTGTGCTAAGAGTCTACCGCGATTGGCCGAGCTGATTGCGGGAGATTCAAAGTTCTGCCATTGGCCGCCGAGCCGCCGGCTGGCTGAATAAAGCCAAGCGCCTCGCAGGTCTTGAACTGTTCTATACATGCAATAAAGAGCTGAATGTACACTTTGGAGTCTCGCCTCTCAATGCGACCCGATCTACGCAGAACCGATCTACCAGACTTAACAGAACTGAAGAGAATATGGTTATGTATGGCAACTGAACTGCCTCTCCCTGGAACCAGTTCTGGAGAATTGGTAGCGGAAATATTGAGTAGTTCAGAGAACCGGCAAATACCACCTCTCAGAGTGGAGATTTTACAGTATCCTTCCCCTGCCAGGCCCACCAAGCCATGCCCACCAATAATCACTTACCATAGTTTTTCTACTTTACAGGCTGGGTCTTGAAGTCCCTTACACAGTATCTCCATTGCTCTGTCACTTATATTGTTGAGATTCAACTTTAGCTCTTTTAATCTCTGGTTTGTCCTGAATACTTCTGTAAGATACGTGTTGCAGTAACTGATCATGGCCGCTTCACTAGCCTGAAACCTGCAGTTATGAATCCCAAAAGTTACAATTATTTATTGGAAAAGAAAACATAGACATAAACATTCAGTTCTTCGAGGAACTGAAGAGAATATGGATTTTTCCTGATACAATAGAACTGTTTGTCCCAGAATACATTTCCAAAACATAAGCAGATACTTTTACTTTTGGAACAATGACAAACATTGATGAGATCAGTATCAGCACTAATATTGTGAGTTTTATGGAGAATTTTGTTAAGATGGTATAAATCTAACTGTATACATTTAATGAAGGAATGAATGGAATAACTCTTTTTAAATCTTATTATTATTGTAAATCCATTATTTATCGATATTATATTTTTTATCCACTGTGTGTTTTCCAAGGGTGAGATTCAAATTTTTTAACAACCAGTTTTGTGGGCGTGCTTTGGGGATCACGTGACTGGATGGGCATGGTTTAATGGTCACATGACCAGACAGGCATGGCTTGGTGGCCATTTGACTGGGTGGGCATGGCCACGTGACTGGCAAAGACAAGTGGTCCTTGCTTAATGGCCGGTGCTTAGCAAGTGTTCTAATTTATGAGTGACCTTCCCAGAGCTACTTGACCTCTTTTTGGAGTTTTGATAGCCATGCACGTACACACACACACACACACACACACACACTTCTAACCCTGCTGGAGCAAGGGGATTGGACTAGAAGATGACCTTCGAGATCCCTTCCAGGCCAGCCCTAGAGTGTTCTGAAGCCTGTCCTTCCTTCCTTTCCTTTTTTTCTCTCTCCCTCCCTTCCTCCTTCCATGTATCTATCTATCTATCTATCTATCTATCTATCTATCTATCTATCTATCTATCTATCTATCTATCTATCTATCTATCTATCGATCTATCGATCTATCCATCCATATATCTCATTCACTTTCTCCTCTCTTTCTTTCTTTCTTTCTTTCTTTCTTTCTTTCTTTCTTTCTTTCTTTCTTTCTTTCTTTCTTTCTTTTTCTTTCTTTTTTTCTTTCTCTTTCTTCCTTCCTTCCTTCCTTCCTTCCTTCCTTCCTTCCTTCCTTCCTTCCTTCCTTCCTTCCTTCCTTCCTTTCTTTTTCTTTCTTTCTGTCCCTTCCTTCCATCCCTTTCTTTGTCTATCCCTTTTCTTCCTTTCTCCCTTTTTATTTTCCTTTTCTTTCTTTTCTTTCTTGTCTCTTCCCTCTCTCTCTTTCTCTCTCTCTCCCTCTTTCTCTCTCTCTTTCGGTCTCTCTCTTCCTCTCTCTTTTCTTCTCTCTTTTTCTCTTCCTCTCTCTCTCCCCCCCATCCCTTTCCTTCCTCCTTCCCTCTCTCTTCCTAAAGCTAGGAGTCCCACCTGAAACAACCTCCCCCCCACATACACTTCCAACAAAGTACTCACCTGGAAGCATTGCTCATGACGAGTCTCCTAGAGTCCCAAGGACCGGCCACAATTGTCCGTTCATGCCCAGTCCCACGTTGCCCAGAGAAGCCGGCAGGCAAGGCTTCCAGGTTCAACAAAGGGGCTGCGGGTAGGACTTCCTCTCCTCCCCTCTTTTGGGGAAAGGCTGGGAACTTCAAGCGAGGTGTGCGCTGCAGCCTCACCCACCCCAGCAGCTGCCAGTGGGGTGGGCAGCAGCTCTGGTCTAGGCAGCAGTTTGGGCTATCCTGACTGCCTGCAAATGTACCTTCCTCCCGTGGCTGGTGGCAGAGGGAAAGGTGAGCCACCCAGGGCAGAGCCTCCCTGCCAGCCCACATCTCATCCCCTGCTCAGATTCTCCACAGCTGCTGGGACTTGTGGCTGCCAGGGGGTGCAAGAGGCGACCAGGAAGCACGAGGCTACGCTGCCCGCATCACCCTTCTGCCAGCCGCTCCTCCCTCACCTGGCTGAGCATTTTACTTGAATGCGGGAGGCAACCAGGAAACACGAGATGCCACCTGCATTGCCCCTGGCAGAGGGAAGAGGCAGCAGACAAAGGGGCGATGAAGGCTGGGCAGCATAGCCTTGTGTTCCCTGGTCATCCACCCCCACCCCCGTCCCTAGCAGGCAAGGCCCAGCAGCTGTGGAGAATCCAGGTGGGGACGAGATGCAGGCTGGTGGGGATCTGAGCAGCAATGCATTAGCTCTGGCTTGCCTACCTCTCTGCCACCAGCAAGCCAGGTAAGCTGGAGGCTGGGGACAGTGGTGGTGGGGGGAAGCTTGTTAGGCCGCCAGTGCTGCATGTTGCAGAGCTGGCAGCTAAGCAAGCCAGACAGCCAGGACAGTTGTGGGGGAAGTTTGCTAGGCTGTGAGTGCCGCATGGGAACTGCGGCACTGGCAGCTTAGCAAGCCAGACAGGGATAGTTTGGGGGGGAAGCTAGCTAGACCACAAGCACTGAGGGTGGTGGAGGCCTGGCGGTGACAGCCTAGGCTGGCCCGGGAGTCAGAACTCAACCGGGGCTTGTGGCGGTTGTGGCGGGGGCGGCACTGGCAGCATGGTGGTGGCAGCCTAGGCTGGCCCAGGAGTCAGGACTCAACTGAGGCTGGCATCAGCAGTGGCAACCAGGGCTTGCAGAGCCTCACTCACTTAGGGAGATCATGATGGTGGAAGGCAGACAGTGATGGCTGGTAGACAGGCAGGTGGTCAAAGACAGACTGGCAGTCAGTGATTGTCACACATGCATGCAATGTCATGTGTGACAATCGGGAAGGAAGCGGAGAAGTGGGCGGAGAGGGGTGGGGCCAGCCAGGGGCCCAATTTACCAGTTCTTAGAACTACTAGGAATCATAACAACCGGTTCTACTGAATCAGTCCGAACCAGTAGAATTCCACCCCTGGTGTTTTCCCACCTTCTTTTTTGTGCAGCTGGTTTTGGTGTTGATGTTTCAAATAGATAAATTATTGATCTTCACAAGTTTTGTGCTACCGGGCTCCCCTTCCCCCATATATCAAGAGTCCACAGGTTTTTATTCAAACCCCTCTCCCCCCAAAAAGAACAGGTCCTCAGAAAGCACCCTCATTGCACAGATTCACACCCGGGGCTTAGCACAGCAAAAACCACTGGGTAACTGAGTCCAATGAGCACACATGAAGTCCAGGAAAATGGTTTACAAGTCGAACAGGTCAGGATATATGGCACAAGCACACAAGGCACAGAACTGGGTAGGTTGCTCCAGCACTGCTCAAGTTCCCAGAGCAGGATTAAAAGGCAATACTGGTGCAGTCCTTCATGAGAGGTGACTTTGCATCCTTGTGAGTAGTCTAGCTGACCGGCATTGTGCCTGTCTCCACCCTGCTCTACTTGTCCTTGGATCTGAAGGAGGGGTGGACCCCAAATCCTCTTCATTGCTAACTGGTGGTAGCTGCTCCCAGTCCTCACCTGGAAACTGGCCAGGAGACAAGCCTGGCCAACTTGCTGCAGCTGTGCCTTGCCTCACTTACCCTCAACCTGTTGCTTACCCAATCAACCCAATTGAGGCTGCTCCACCGAACTAGCACTTTTTGAACCCCAACCCCCAAACACTCAGCTCCATGCTTTCCTCTGCCGACTCAAACTCACCCTCCTCCTCCAAGCTCACGTCAGCAGGGCATCTGAAGGCAGATCCATGACAAGGTTTAAACTACAACGTAACAGCTATGCTTGGCCCCCATTAAATCTGGGGAGAAGAGCCAAACTAGCATGTGAGCATGGCATCAGTTCTAGAGCTCCTAGATCATAACCAACAACACTCTGTAAAATGGCGAACTCCTTCAATATCAAGGATAAACATAAAAGAAGAAATACATTATAATCCTTTAAATAAAACATGCAGCCTTTGTAGAATCATAAGGCTGGAAGGGATTTTCAAGGTTTTCTGGTTCAACCCCTGCCCAAGGCAGGAGTCATAATTGCATCCTGGACAATAGCTGCCCAATCTGTCCTCGAAGACCTCCAGGGATGAAGTACAACTCAGGGAGGCAAGCTGTTCCATTGATGAATTGTTTTTCCTGCTAGGAAATTTCTATTTGGTTCCAGATTGACCTCTCTTCCAACCCCCTGCTTCTTCTCCTGCCCTCAGATGATTTGGACACACTCTTTTCTTTGACAGCCCCTCAAGTACTAGAAGACAACTAGAAGACAACAATATCACCCCTCATTCATTTCTTCAATAGGCTACGCATACTTAGTTCCATTAACTGTTAATATAGGACTAGGAGTTGGAGTAGGAGTAGGAATCTTCTTTATTGGCCAAGTGTGATTAGACACACAAGGAATTTATTTCTGGTATTTAAGCTCTCTGTGTATATACTAGTAAGTTGCAGATCATAAATCATAATATGCAATCTTATATCATAAGATACAAACAAGTAATAAAACATATGATACTAATAGGATAAGATAGTAGGAAAATTGAGAAAGATTAGAAGGTTGAAAAAAATGAGAAGGATGAGAAGATGAGAATGATAATAGCAATACAGCCCTACTACAAAATATCTTTAGGCATAAGAGAGTGCTGAAGGAATTAGAAATTTAGCAGAATGATGGCATTTTAGGAGAAACTCCTATTCTACCACTTCTTACAATATTAGACAACACAGTATCAACAGTGGAAACCTTCAGGTTTCAGGGTTCTATAATCTCCCAGGACTTGAAATGAACACCTAATATCAGAACCATCAATAAAAATGTTCTTCCTCCATCTGCTCAGAAAATTCAGATTGCCCAAGGAGTTACTGAATCAGTTCTATAGAGGATTATTATCTATCATATAATCATATAGATTAGCCCCCAGTTCCCTTTTATTTTGTTGCTCTTCTCTGCACTCTTCCTAGAAAGCTGTATCACAGTGCTGAATCATACTTAAGTGATGATCCATTAGAAGGATGGTCCACCAAGATCCCACTCATTTATTTATTTATTTGTTTGTTTGTTTAGCATATGGCATGTGTTAGCCAGGAATCACTGAGGTAGCTGCCTGCCTCTGTGAAAGGAATTTTTTTGAGCAGTGTTATCTTTACCTGCGGGATGCCTGAATGCCGGTAGGCAATCGGGGGAGGCTCCTTTCTTGTCTCTCCACAGTGTATTCATTCATGGGAATCAAGCCACTGAGCTATTGACCTCAGTGATGAGCAGGCCCATGTAAGCCACTGCGGCCCCATCCCCTTCATAATCACTACTGTTGAGCCAAATACAGCCTAGTCTATACATTTGGTTTCCCCGCATAAGTGTAGGACCTAAGTTTTCTCACCACTGAACTGCATCTCATTCAATAGGACCCAAAGCTCAATTCTGTCAACATCCTTCTGAATTTTGAGTCTGTCTTCCAATTCCTTCCAGCTTTGTGTCAAACTGAAATAGAAATACTGATCACTCACTCCAGTGTTTCTACTTTACATTCTGGATGTTGGAGCTCCTTACACAGCAATCGCATTGCTGTATCATTTGTGTCTTCAAGGATCAAATTTAACTCCTTCAACTTCTGGTTAGTCCTAAAGACTTCAGCAAGCAGCCTTCTGCAGGATTCTGTAAAGGACAATTTCTCCAACCTGAAAGTGCAGTAAATATTCAGAAGAATTAAAATGGTACTTTCTGCTTTGGTTTACATTTTATTTATTTTTATGAGGTATTTATTATAATTTTCAAAGAAGAATGGAAAGAAAAAGAGTACTGTTACAAAATTAGATATACGAAAATAGATGAATAGTTAATAATTACACAATAAAAATTATAGATATGGGAATCAACAAATCTAAAATATTATATGTCTAGATAAAAAATAAAACATTAAAGGGATCCTATAAATAGTGTGTAGGTTATACATCAAAGTAAAAAATAAACTCTGAAAAACAAATGTTGGATTTGGCACCATTTCACATACGTAGTTGTCATCTAAATTCCAAACAGAATAATTTCTAAATCCAATATCCTTTTAAAATATGAAGTGAACTTAGATGTTGAACTATACTCCCACAATTTCGTTAGCCATGGGTCAACAGAGAGGATCACCATCTTTTTCAAAAAAGAATATATAAAATTCTTGTAGCTTCTAATATATTTAGCATTCTTCTATCTATCTATCTATCTATCTATCTATCTATCTATCTATCTATCTATCTATCTATCT